TGGCTAAATTTAAAAGAGGAAACATGAAGAGAATGATATACAGAAGTCAACGATAGCAAGTTACGAGAAAGAATAAAGTCAAATGTGTTAAAACCTAAACTAAGGCAACACTAATCCGCTACCCTAGTTCTAAGCCTTCATAAATTTCAATGACAGAAACGCATAAAAAGTAGAAGTCGTGAAAATTACTACAAAGGCATTAAAAGAAGACAGAGATGATACACCCTATGAATGTTACCCATACTACTCGGCTACCCTGGTCATGTCCTCGGTAAGGGCTAAATCCTTAAAATCAGATCTCAAGCAGTCTTCCCACTTCCACCTTGGTCGTCCTCTCCATCTGGCACCGTCGACTATAATCGACTCTACCCTCCTGATCGCATCCGATGGTTGTCACCTAAGGACATGCCCAAACCACCGTAGTCTTCCCTCCCTCAATTTTTGGATACATGCACCTCCCCCAAGGACATCCTAATAGAAGAGTTTGGTGTCATGTCCATATAGTCCTACCACATGCCCATCGAAGCATTCTCATTTTTGCAACCTCCATCCTCCTTACGTGATCCTCCTTTATAGCCCAACATTTTGATCCATACAACAGCGCTGGTCTTATTGTCATTCTATAAAATTTTCCCTTAAGTTTTAAAGGCATCTTCTTATCACACAAAACTCCAGTAGCAGCCCTCCACTTTAGCCATCCCGCCTTTATACGTGTGTAACGTCATCATCTACACCCCCATTTTTATTTATCATAGACCCTAGGTACTTGAAACAATCCTTTGAGGGGATAACGTGTCTTTCTATGCATACTTTTACATCTTCATCGTTTAGGTTCCCACTGAAGTTTGAACATAAATACTCTGTCTTTTCAATATTGATCCTTAGACCTTTTTCTTCCAAAGCAGTCTTCCAGGTAGCCAGTCTACTATTCAGCTCAGTTTTTGTTTCAGCAACTAGACAATGTCGTCAGCGAAAAGCATACACTATGGAACACCGTCTGGTGTCTCATAATAGATGTCGTCCATAATAAAGGCGAAGATGTAAGGGCTAGGAGCCGACCCCTGGTGGAGTCTGATTTCTACTGGGAATGCCTCGGTGTCGCCAACTGTAGTCCTGACATATGTAGTAGATCTACAGTACATATCACGAATCGCCCAGATATAAGCAGTTGGGATCTGTCTCGTTTCTAAGGTCTTCCAGATCGTATCGCGGGGAATACTATCATACGCCTTCTCAAGGTCAATGAACACCATGTGAATATCTCTATTTTTTCCCTATATTTCTCCATAAGCCGTCGAAATAGATGAATCGCTCTATAGTAGACCTGTCTGGCATAAAGCCAAATTGGTTTTCCAAAACCCTAGTAACATGTCTCAACCTAGCCTCTATCACCCTTTCCCATAGCTTCATGGTATGGTTGAGTAGTCTAATACCTCTATAGCTGCCACAATGTTGGGGATCTCTTTTTTTCTTATAGATTGGTATCACCGTAGACTTTCTTCACTCTTCTGGTATCTTGGTAGTCTCTAAAATACTATTAAAGATTTGGTCAACTATTTAACTCCCTCTTCTCTTAGGGCCAACCACACAGTGATAGGAATTTGATCTGGACCAACAGCTTTGTCCCTCCCCATCTTTCTAAGAGCCGTTTTGACTTCCTCAAACCCAATCCTACTTGTAGGGCAGTCATTGGTCGTAGTATGATGGTCGGCTGACCCATCATCGGTATTATCTCTACAGGGAGAGGCACCGTCATTAAATAAGCCAAGGAAGTAACTACCCCAAACCCTCTTAATATCATGATCTTTCACTAAAAGATCACCATTGTTGTCCTTAATAAACATAATGCTGCCTAGATCCTTTTTCCTATTCTCCCCGAATTTTGCAAGCCTGAAGATGTCGTTTTGTCCATATTTGGTGTCTAATCTCTTGTACATTTCTCGTATGCCTTATCCTTTGCTTTAGCCACCGTTTTCTTGGCTTCCCGTTTTGCCTCCTTATATCTTTGTTTAGCTCTCGATCTTTCTTCGTCGGCATTGCATTGTAGAAACTCCTTGAAGCAAGTTTGCTTTGTCTTCACCTTACTTTGGACTTCGTCATTCCACCGCCATGATTCTTTATGTTCCTTGATCTTCCCTATCGACAACCCAAGGGTGTTGTTTCCCACCTCTCTGATGGAATTTGCCATATTTTTCCATAACATATCTGCATTATTTGAGTTTGTAGTTCTAAAACCTGTATTAGACAAAACCTTACTCTTAAAGTCATCAGTTGTCGCTCCATGTAAGTTCTTCCAAAGGATTCTAGGTTTACCAAGTTTAGCCCTCCTATGAGTGCTCCGCCCGTGGCGTACGCGGAACACAAGAACCAACAATCTGTGTTCTGATGTACATGCCTCTTCAGGGAACACCTTACAGTCAATGCAAACCCATCAATCCCAATTTCGAACCAGGATGTAGTCAATTTGGGTACAATGTCGCCCACTATGGAACTTAATAAAGTTCATATCTCTCTTGTTAAAGAATGAGTTAGTGACCATCATATCGTGCGCAGTAGCAAATTCAAGCAACGTACTCCCCTCCTCGTTCTTACTACCAAAATCGAAACCCCCATGAACACCGTCATACCCGTCGGTTGCATTACCAATATGGCCATTGAAGTCTCCCCCTGTGAAAACTCTTTTTTCCTCTGAAATGCTCCTAAGTACATCATTAACTGATCCCAGAAGCAACGTTTCTCCCCCTCCCCTAGGCCAACGTGTGGGGCGTACACTAAAATGACATTCACCACTTTCGCTTCTATAATAACCTTAATCATCATGATCCTATCCCGGTATCTACAAACTTTAACTACATTTACCTTGAACATAGAGGATACCAAGATACCCACCCTATTTCTAGCGTTATCTACGCCTGAATACCACAACTTGTACCCATTACACTCTCTGGCGCGAGCCCCTTTCCACCTAGTCTCCTGAATACATGCAAAATCTATTTTCCTATTACTAAGTACGTCGGTCAGCTCCAGCAGCCTAGCATTTAATGTGCCTACATTCAACGAACAAACTCTAAGTCTAGTCTCCTTGACACCACTCGGTCGAGCCCTCCCCCTATACGCCCTATGGGATCTAAAAGAAGGACATGACCTCAAGTAATCATCTATAGCCGAAGCTATGAGAACTATGAAAAAGGAATCCAAAGAAGACAGAAGGTGCACCAATAAAACAAATAACATTCAAAAATTAGAGGAAACCCCTTTCAATTTCTTATCAGAGTCCAAATAAATTAACCAAACCCACAAGTAATTACTGATTATACAGGAAAAAATCAGATACGCAGATACAATCGAACAAATTGAATTTTCAAACCTAATTATGCATTTGAGTAATGAACGAATCAAAAACAACCAGATCACCTAATTAACACATAAATATCAATGATCCGTTCAAACTAGACCAAAATGAAAAGTCATAAATCTCTACAAAACAGATTCAAACTACGAAAGCAAGCTGGTCTAAAAGATTCATACAACGGTCAGATTTAGTAAGAGAAAGCGAGGAAACGATATACTCGGACAAAGATAAAATAGAAGTAAAGAATAAACCCCCAAAAAGAGAGATATTTTAGCTATAAGCTGAAGAACACAAGTAGATCAACCACTAGTTTTGCAGTGACTAGAATCTGGGTTTTAAAGGGGTCGATGGTTCTTGGTCGAGCAGAGGGGAAATTGGTAGTTTTTAAAGTATGGGAAAACTTTTTATCCTGTTGTTTTCATTCAATTCCCTTGGATGAAAATCTATATAGCATAAATATTTTGACAGATCACTAGAGATTAAAGTCGTATCATTAAGAATCTTGGTAGTGATAAACAATTGATAAAACAAATAATGTAAACCATCAAAATCATGAAAAAAATCCAATCATTAATCAGGAACGTTTCAGAACAATCATGGATTCAAGAAAAAATAGAAAAAAATAATTAAAATGGGCAGAAATTAAACTATATTTAGAGAAATGAAAATTAAATCAATAACATCAGAATTCAGAAATCCGAATCCAATAAAATGCAACGAATCAGATCTAAAAAAGAGTGTTGGCCTGATTGAATCTAAAACTGAAACCGCAGATCTGAAAGCAAAGAAGAAATTTTCTCCTTTTTAAACGAAATATATTTTGTGGTAAACGTTGATAAAGAATCTCGAAAGCTGGTTCAGTGTACATATGAGTGTTTAGATAAAGCGATATCTATTGGTATGTGATTCAAAAAGTCATTTTTTCAATGATTATCTAAAGCATTAACCATTTGGCCAACTTGATTATCTAAAGCTCTCAATGATGTTGATTAACTCTCCATGTATTCTTTCATTAAATCTTTAAGCGATGAAAAATTAGAAGCTTATGTTGAAGATTGCCTTTGATAATTTTGTCTTTGCTATGGTTGTGCAGTCTGATGATGTAACTGAGGCTATGGTCTCGTAGGTTGATTGTTCTGCTGTGGTTGCATGTAATGTTACAATTATGGATTGGCAACATTTTGGCTTCTCCAAGGCATATTATGATGGTTTCGAAAGTTGGAATTGTAGGTGTTGCAAAAAGAGTTGTCATTTCTATGGTAATTTCATACATAAAAGATGGACTTGGGATTTTGAGGGCATTCGTCAAAGTTATGATTATCACCACAATAAACACAAGAAATAGTATATGTATCTTTAACCTCAAAACTTCCTATGGTTTTTGCAGTATCTTCATCATATCAGTCAATGTTGAAATTTGAGAAACCATAAAGTTTAAGGCATCATAATTCACTACTACAATATTTCATCGGCTAAACATGTTCCTCGTATTGGGGTATTATAATCATTGTTCAATATGATTTTTAGAATATCATAAACTTCATTATACGTCTTGTCTAACAATGCTCTATTTGCTGAAGCGTCCACTACCATACGAGTGTGCATATTTAACTCATTGTAAAACATTTCCATTTGCATCCAATACGGGAATCCATGCATCAGGCATTTTTGCAGCAAATCCTAAAATCTTTCACATGCATCATTCTAGTTTTTATCTTTTGATTGTTTAAAAAATGTGAGGTTGTTTTGAAGTTTAACATTCATTTTAGGTGGATTAAACCATAGAAAAAACTTTTGTGCTAGCTCATTCCAAGATGTTATAGAACCAAGATGTGATAACTCTCTAAAATAGTTATATTTAGTAGTCTTTTTCACCTAGGTTTAGCTTGAACTTGATCATGCTTAGGAGCATTTTAGGATTAAACCTACTTGGTTAAACACATTTTGAATTTTAGGAGCATTGTGGGTTGCTAAAGACTAAAATCAATTTTTGTTGTTGAAAACTGTTACACTGATGTCGCAGCATTGCAAGAAATGTCAATCGAATACTGTAGCGATTTTCTATGCTCCAGAAGACTGGGAGAACCTTATGGATTGGGAAAGCTCACTCAGGTATCTTTCATTTGGATGTGTATCACCTGAAACATAGACATTTTCTATTGACAGATGAAATTCCCATCAAATCTATAAAAGGGGAGTACTTGAGCACAAAAAGTGTGACGTTCAAGAGCTTTTTCAAGTACATAATTCTCCACATTAAATCTTCAACACATTGAAGCCTAAGTCCTCTGCCAGGGATTGCTGTAGCACAAGGGAAGCTTTCTGGGTAGCTTTAGCAGTCAACAGATCTTCATTCAAGCCCTTCCACTGAGAGAGTGAGTCATTTGAGTGCTTAAACCATTGTTGGATGATATTTTGAATTTCATATTTTGTGTTTACTTTGATGCCCATTTTATGAGCTTAGTTCTTTATGATTGTGGAAAGTAATACTTATAATTAAATATATAGTATTTTTATTAAATCTATAAATAATTTCATTCGATTTGCTATATACCTATGTGAGCATTGGTGTTGCTGAGTATCATAGTGAAAAGCATGCAGCCAATTAATTAGTGTTCTTAATATCTTGAGACTTTAAGATACAAAAGTTGTTAAAGTAGTTCAAGAGGTTTTAATCAATTTTGATTGCATTAACTGAGTATTGGATGTTTGCATGAGATTTGAAGTTCATAATATTGTATCTATAGATTTGATAGCTGACCACATGCTTCTTGGAATGATGTAGCATGAACTAGTGCTTTCCTTTATTGATTTAACATATTCTCTTTAGAATCTCGTATAGTTGACAAATCTGTACACTCTAATGATAACTCTTTTCTCCTTGTGGGTTCGATATTCGTAGCATCAATTGCTACCACTTTATAACTTGAGCGATACGTATACTTTTGTTAAATGCTATAGCATCTTACGTAGCATCGAGCGATAGCAATGTCAACCAAGCTCTAGCTTTGTCTCACAATGAATAAGGGGATAACTTTAGCTTCAATGCTTCCTTAGGGACACTATGTTAAAGTGACGAATTGCAGACCTCTATAAATGCTCGTAAATGTAATCGAGTATCTTCAGTAATAGATCCACCATATTATCCCATGGACTACAACATTTGAAACATGATCAGCTTCAATTCAAAATTCGTAGCATGAATTGTTTGTCGCACTATGACAGGATGTAATAAGATGGGTCACTTGCGATCATCCATAGTGTAGAATTGTTGCAGTGCAACTCTATTTCTAGCTGACAATTCATCTTTATCTTCATGATGTAGTGGAGGTAAAGCATTGTTCTCTTGTCTAGCCATAAATGCTTCACTTCTTACAACTTCTCGACGGCATTTTCTAAATTTCATTTTATCTCTTGATCGACTAGCTCTAAGGTATCATCATGTCGGGGCGTAAACCACTGAAACTATAAGAAATGAGTACCTAAAAAATAAATAATCAAATAAGTAAGCAACTAAGGAAGTCTAAAGAAAAACCAATGCTCCTCGAAAACAATACCAAAAACTTGATGTTGTGTAAATACTACTGCAAAGTGCAAGCATACACTGTCAAATAAATAATAAAGTGGAAACAAAATTGTTACAATTATCAAATCCCATATGGAGCAAATCTATTTACAGTACAGTTCAAAAGTTCAAAGTTCATAATTAACAATGCATAACATTGGCATCCTATATCTCTATGGGTTTGTTACTCTTGTAATCACCTATCATGTAACAAAACTAGCATGCAATTGCAATTAATTATATCTCTAAAATAATCAAAAATCACTTGCATAAATGATATTATCTCTAATCAACTCATATAAGTACACATCTCATAAACATAGTTCAAACATCAAAAATCTCATCGAAGATTTAATCAAACACTTTATGTTTGATATCCAACAAAACAAAAAAGCATTCAACATTCACAATAATGTTTTTCCCTTTCTCAGTTAAAAACATGAAGTGGAGTTGAAACCCAATCAGCCACCACTTCTACATGATTGCTCATTATTGCTGCTACACTCTCGACAAATGGATTACGTTACCATCGTGGATAAGATAGTGGAGAAAATCTAGGATATGAAAATTGATTATTAATGATGAAGAGAGCACTCATGTTGTTATACCCCAAATTTTGGTTGGTGACTAAAATATAGCATTGAAAGTTTGGTAGCTAAGTATAAACTTTGTTAAAGTTAGGATCTAAAATATAATTTTGAAAGGTTATATATTTTTGCCCAAAAATGAGCAGTTTGTCCTAAAACAAGAATTTTCTTAGAATTAGAATTTCAATACGAGGTTTTGTACTAAAAGTTATAAGTGATAAAGTCGTATAGAAATCGGATATTCGGACCGCTGGAATTTCACAAAAATTTGAAGGATTCTAGATAAGGTTTGGAATATTATTTTCATTTTTTAGATATGCAAAATTTAACAAGAATCAGTAGAATTGAAGTTAATGTTTTAGATTTGGTCGAATAGTGGAAATTTAGTGACTAAAATGCAATTTTTGAAAACTGCATGGCCAAAGTAGAAAGTCAAGACAAATTGCTCATCACTGATTAAGGAATATTTTAATGGAAGATAATGCTATGTCATTTGGTAATTATCAGGTTCATGCTGGTAAATTTGGAATTTCTCATTAATTAAATTTTAAATTCAATTATATTATTTTTTTATACAAGTGATCAAGAAATATTATTAGAATAATCAAGAAATTTTCTTCTTCATTCTTGCATAGGTTGAATCCACCATAGCCATTAAGGTGAGTATTTTGTTTTGATTTTTGATTTCTGGATTAAGCTATTAGATGGAGAATTAATCTACCTGAAATTATCCATCTTTTGGTACAAAAATCACACGTGAACATGCTTATATGAAGAGTTTGGAAATTATGGTTTATGGATTTTGAAGATTTAATGGAAGTTTATTATGGTATTGATGTTCTAGATTATTTTTAAAGCATGTGTGATGATTAAAATCATGTATACAAGCCTAAAGGACGTTCGACCATACTAGGGTTTATGGAGAATGATTGTATTTTGATTTAATTTGATGTTTTGATAGTTAAGTAACATGAATTTGATGCAAGGAAATTGAATTTATGCTTGAAATTGAATGAAAAGACTATCCTAAGTACTTAAAGAGCTTCGGCCATAGGGAAAGAAATTAGGGGAAAATGTTTAAAATTTTCCTATGGTATAGACTTGGCATTAGATGTGTTCTACATGCTTTGGAGATCAAATTGGATCAATTTGGAACCTTGAGATAGTGAAAGGGGATATTTTACAAGTTTTGAGAATTGTGTGACATTAATGTATAAATGTGTAAATTGGAGTTTTCAATGTTGAATTTTAAGTTAAATAAGTGATTTCAGATCAACGTGCAAATATGGATAAATTTGGTGATGGAATTCGAATAGTCTCAAAAGATGGGACTTAATTTTGAGTTTTCAAATGTGGTGATATTATTTTAGTATGAAATTTCAATGTTGTAAATTTATGTTGTTATGTTGATTTTTAAGTTTAAATATTTGATTGGGATTGAATTGTAAGTTTATTTAAGTATGTGATTAAATTCAAAAAGTTTAAGGAAATAGAGGATGAAATTACAAGCTTTTGAATGTTAAAGTATTGATTTGAGTATATGATTAAGGTAATGATATTTAGTAATTAAAGTGAAATGATAATAATGGTGAACAATTATTATTAATTATATGGAAAGGTTGATATGAATTCTAAGAAGAATTCATAATTAGTAACTTATTTTAAAGTATGTAAAAGTTAAAGGGTTGATGATGAAAATAAATTTTTATAGACTCGAATGATTATTTTGAGAGGTTTAAAATTATGATGGGAATATGATTTAACTTGATATCGCTTTTATTTTATATACTTTTTGTACAACCACAAATGGTATGTCAGTGGCTATTTTGAAAGAATTTAAAATTTTAAGGATATAATTTAATAAATGTTAAAGTATAAGTGTTGAAAACATTATGATATTTCGATATAACAAATTAAGTTAAATGAATTTTAAGATTTTCCAAATGATTTTCTAAGTATATTCGATAGAATTATTCGAATATCAAAACATTACTCCAAATCTTTCAAAGATCATTTTTAATCCTTAATCAAAGTGTAAAATTAAGTTTTAATCTTAAAACAATTTCAAAATAATTTTACAAAGTATTTCGAACCATTCAAAGCCAAAATTACATATGCTCAGAGGGAACCGATTCCTCCCTAAGGGGTACCGATTCCCCCATGAATGGTTTGTCTCCGAGAATTCCAGTATGCTCGGGGAACCGATTCCCCCCCAGGGGTACCGATTCCCCCTTGTATAACGGTCGAAATATTTTAATTTTACACTTAGGGAACCGATTCCCCATAGGGGGTACCGATTCCCCCCACGCTCCAAGTTGTTTTATTAATTGTTTTCACACTATAACGGCTATATGATCTTCACTAATCATCCCCACGTTCAGATGATTCAAGGTGTATTTAAACAAGTTCTGAAGCCCTTGATCAACAAGAAATTATAGAGAAACAATAGAGAAAGCATCAAACACCAAGTTTGTGCAAATCAAGCCAATTTTCCTTTCAGTATTCATTTTGCTTTCAAAGAACACCATTTGTGGTCATTTGTAATTATTTGTGAGTGTTCCTTTCTTGTTCTAGAATTGTGCAAACATCTTACCTTGTGAGGT